TGCTGCTATGATAAATCTTTTATACTCATCTTCCTCTGTCAGTGTGATTTCTAAGGCTTCATTGAAGGATCCTAAAAGACCCCCACACCCCCACCCCACCCCCTGTTGCTTACAACATAGCAAACATAGCACTTGTGTGCTTTCTCAACTTCCTGACCTCCTCCTCAAGTAACATCAGGGCATTCACAGTTCCCCTCACAATGTGGTACCATGAGCCACTTATTTCCCATGTGCTTCTGGAAGCAGGGCCCATGGCTGCTTTGCACACCTTGTGTTTCTGGCTCTTTGTGCAGAACTATTCTAGTAGTCATGTAGTAGGCATTTGCATGGTTAAGTTCCCTCAACTGACTTGGCTGTGTCACATTAGAAGCATCCAGTGTTCCTCCCTAGTGAGGGTCAGGTCCATTTTGACCTCAGTACCCCTGGGAGCCCCGGGACTGTAGGGGGTGCAGAATGAGTGGTCTGCAAATGTGTGTTGATGGTCCTCATGCTCTGTGAAAGGATGGCTTCAGATGCCTGATGCAGACTGGCAGGTTTATAAGAAGACAAGGAACCGGCTGCCTGCGCCGCACATTTGAGGGCATGGCGTGCACAGTGTGAGGTCAAGAGAGTAAATCTGTATTTCTGTCACTTGGACACATACCAGGTCGCTTGGATGTGATGGGAATTGTGCCTGCTAATGTGGCAAATTCTCCCCCTGGCAGGAGGGCCCGAGTTTGCTGGCTGCCTACTCTAGCAGACTGGCAGAACCCAAGGCATTCGGGGTACAGCTGTCAGAGCAAGAACAAAGGTGCTGTGAATTCCTCATGAGGGGGGAACTTGTGTTCATGGCATCTGCAGTGTTTTAATCCAAAAAGAAGGGAAGTGGTGGCGGGCCACAGCCAGGAGATGGGTCATGCTGCTGTAGGCAGCAGGAGGCTGAGAACCAATTGCCCTTGCTAGTCCCATGACCTTCCTCTATCAGCCACAGGCTACTCCCTGCTAACACAAGCGTTTCTTGGGCTCAAAAGTTGTTTGTGAATGGGACTTGTCCTAGCCCCAGACAGACTGTTCAATATCAGTGGAGTTTGCCCATGCCATGCAAAAAGAGAGACAAAGGCAAGCATGAGCACATGCATACAACCACATTTAATATTTTTCCATATTTTGAATAGGGGCCTCATTCATCTTGGATACAATACACTGAGGGATACATAGTTTCAAAATGCTTAACTTCAGTCTAATCATAAAATGTAGCAGAGAAGCCCAAATTGAGAGATGCATACAAATTGCCTAAGTAATGCTGTGCAGAAGGGTCAAGGCCATGAAACAAAAGAAGAGTAAAGAACTATCATGGACTGGAGGGGCTAAGGGGTCACGATAATGGGATCCTAAACCAGGTGTGAAAGGTAAAAGTGTAAAAAAAAAAGTCTATAAATCAGTGAAAATTATTGCATGAGTGTTAAGTTTCTGGCTTTTAAATTTAAAATGTTGACCTTATAGAAACTTGGGGAGGAGGCTGTGTATGGAAATTGTCCCATTTTGGTAACTTGTCTGTATATTTTAAGGTACTTGAAAAGTTTCCAAATTACAGTGTGTGTGTGTGTGTGTGTGTGTGTGTGTGTGTGTGTGTATACATATATGGAGGTCAGAAGACAACTTTCAGGTCTCAGTTCTCTCGTTCTACCATGTTGCTTCCTGGAATTGAAGTCAGATTGTCAGTTTTGTTGACAAATACCTTTACTCCCTGAGCCATCTTTACCAAGTTTAATGTAAAAAGCTTTAAATAATTGGTGTGGGGAAGATTTGTTAAAAAAAAATGACACATGTCACATTGTTGATATGTGGACAAAGGAGATAAATATGCATTCAATAATTTGCAGTGTCCAGTGCATACTTAGTATTTGAGAGTACTGGAAGTGTAGGCTTTAGCATCAGATGAGCACCAGTGCTGGGATTAGATTTCCCCTGCTGGAAGCTCTCCAGGCAGCTGGAGTCTGTTTATGAATCTATTATCACACAGGTGCACTCA